TTGCTGGCTGATGAATAGCCCTTCACCAGCAGTGCCTGGGGAGGTCCAGTGACTTCCAGCTGCAAGAGGTGCCTGGATTGTGACAGCCATGGGGTTCTGTGGCCTCAAAGGGACATGTGGCCTCATGTCACAAATGCGCAGAGATGCAGCATCAGTCCAGTGATTGTGACTTCACCTGCCCAATGCTTATTATCCTGAGGAGTGGGCCAGCAAAAACTAGTTGGCTGAGCTGGCCTTTGGGACATCTCAGCTCCTTCCACTGATGCTTGTATGCCTGCCTTTTTCCAAGCATTTTTCATCGTTGGCAGCAGCTACAAGCCTCACCAAAACGCTTTTGACAGCTCAAGGTGCTTTATGGGTCACGTTTGGGGTTTCTAAATAATTTTATTGAGCTACAATCATTTCCTTTCCCTTCGGGTGATTGTATTGGTGCTGATCTGATATTTCTGAAGGAGATTTTTCTGGAACTCCGTCATCCAAAACTTTTCCCTCTGTTCCTGAGAGGGGTGATGGGGAACAATTCTTCTGAGTCTTGACCTGAAAATTCAAGACTCTAGAGGGAAAGGAAGGTAGCCTGAGGCCCAGAAATCAAAGTGGGTTTGTTGGACTGTTGGCAGAGTACACAGAGAAATTGACTGTTTTCCAGAACTGTTTCCCTACCAGTAGATGTCAACAGGCTGTTAGGCTTCGCCTAATGTTTCTGGCTTGGCAATTAGAGTTGTTGTCCTCTGTGCTCCTGTAGAGAACTCAATATTTGAATACGCTTTTGAGCAACAATATTGTCTCATCTCTTTTCAAATGTCATTTCCCTGCAGTCATTGCCGAGGGAATGACTCCGCCACAAAGGATCCTCTTTCCCCCAGAGAAGATATGCATGGACTGGCACCAAAGACAGAGACCTGGAGCGGGACTCCTCAACCTGGGCAATACTTGCTACATCAATGTCATCCTGCAGTGCCTGACATACACGCCCCCTCTGGCCAACTACCTGCTCTCGCATGAGCACAGCCAGTCATGTGAGTACTTTTAGGAATATCTTCTTGCAAATATCTTGGGCAAATCCCAAGGATTGCCAGAACCTGGAATCAGATTTAGGAGAACAGCAGAGAACTTTAGGAGAACTTTGTCAGCCCCAAGAAGCTGCTTGTCCTATCAAGTTGCGTTCATCCTCAGAAAAACACCTCTTTCTAGCCCTGGGTCTCTATCCCTGCAAGTTAAACCCCCTTGACTTATTGCACAGAAAACTCTGCTGAAGCATTAAATCCCTCTGAAGCACTAAAATGTCCTGGGCTTGTCAGGACTTTGGCAGCTTGGGAGTAGAGAAGTGGAGACTGTTCTTAGAACTTCAAGATCTCCAGTAGGTTTCCCATCATTGGGGATGTTTTCCTAACCTGAGAAGCTTCCCTCCCTCTCTCCCTCCCTCTGTCTTTCCCCCTCTCTTTACCTCTTCAGGTCAACAGCAAGGCTTCTGCATGATGTGCGTCATGGAAGTGCACATTAGGAAGGTCCTGCATTCCTCAGCCAGTGCCATCCTGCCTGGGGTTGTCCTCAGGGACCTCAAATGTAAGTTGTTTCAGGTGCTTCAACAGATTTTCTTCTTTTTGTTCCCTTTAGGGGAGAGCTACTAACTTCTTCTTTCTTAGTCATAGGAGAAGAATTTGAGTCTGGCAGGGCGGGAGACGCCTACGAGTTCTTACGCTGTGCTCTCAATGCCATGCAGAGAGCTTGTCTGAGTAGCAGCAGCGAGTAAGCACAAGCAATTTACCTTTTCAATGTTCCCGAACCTGTTGGACTCCTTGATGTGCTCCCATCAAGGAAAACTGATGTCCAGGGCCTTCAACTTGGACTCTTGGAGGAGGTAACTCTCTTCCTTGCCATTTATTTTTATTTCCAGCTCGGACATCTCTTCACAAGAAACTACCATTGTCCATCAAATATTTGGGGGCTTTATGAGATCCAGAGGTATGTTTCCGCAACTATTCCTTTCACATTGTCTGCGCCCTTCTGTCTGCCTGTGACAAATAGCTGGTCCTGGGATTGGCATAGTAGGTAACCTAAGCATACACTGGCACAGTCAACTAACCCAGCATTTTGATTTTCTTTCCAGTCACATGCTTGAGCTGCCAAGCAGTTACTGATTCCTACAAGGCCTTCCTGGATGTCTCTTTGGATATCAGAGTAAGAGGGTTCACAATTGTGCTACAGGTGCCCCAAGGCCCCTGTATATTTCCAGAATCAAAGTGTTTGTCTTAAAAACCTACACTGCAAGCACAAGGGAGCTCGGTGGTGAGTGGGAAGGGGAATGCATGCGTTCCTGCAGAGGTCATGACACTGGTGTCCCCATGGTGCTGGCTTTAGGCCGAACAAGCAGCATTATCCCCTCTGCACCCTTGACATACTCTCCTCCTCCTTCCCTTTGCCCTCTCTCAACACCCTTCTGGCTCCCAGGCTGATGGGGTTGGATTGTTTTCCCTACCGATGCCCCTGCATGACATCAGTAGCTGAACTGAGTGGTGGCACAGAGAGGGAGCTCTTGATGGCTCTGATGGCTCTGAGCATCACACCCTCTTTCTTTGCCTCCTCCCAGACAATGCCTGCAGGTTTACAATGGGTATCCTCAGAGTCAGCTGCCTGGGTCTTCTTGTCAGCTCCTGGGAAGTGTTTGGGTGAGAGCATTTTCCAAAGCTCAGCGGCTCCTTTCTCACTCTTCCAGGCAGCCTCGTCCCTCACCACAGTTCTGGAGGACTGTGTGACACCCAAGGAGCTGGATCTGAAAGAATGCTTCAAATGTAGGAAGTAAGATGATTCCTGATGACATAATAACACCAGATCCTACATGAGGGGAGGCTGAATGTCATCGAACAGAAATCATCTCATGGAGGTTTAATGCACAACAGTGAGACACAGCTTTTTTAATGTGGCTCGGAATAGCCTTAAAATAGCATAAGGATGAGTGAGACAGAGAAAAGGTTGTCTGGCCTTCTTGGGGGAAGATCAGGTGCATTTCAGCACTCGGCTCTGTGCTTGGTTTCAAGGTGTAAGAAGAAGGTTGCTGCCTCCAAGAGGGTCACAATCCATCAAGCACCCAGAGTCCTCACATTATGTCTGGAAAGGGCTGACCAATGGACTGGCAAGAAGATCAGCAAGGTGTGTACACAGCTGGAGTCCAACTTTCTCTTCCTGCAGCAGAAGATTCCCCAAAGCAGTACACTCTGTCACAAGCTGCTCTTGTTGAGTTTTTTGTGTTCCCTTCTGGGGAGAGAATTCCTGTGGGAAGACCAGCCTGGACTCTGCTCTGACAGAGATGTTTTGGCTGAGAACAGTTTCCTGGCCACCTAAATCATTACATATTGAAGGCTATTTCGTGTGGTAGCTCAGGATCATTTCTGAGCCCTCTTGGTCTCTCTGTAGTTTGTGGACTATCCTGAGTACTTGGATCTTCGGCCATACATGTCTGACACAGCTGGAGAACCCCTCCTCTGCTCCTTATATGCCATCGTGGTGCACAGTGGTGACACCTGTCTTGAAGGACACTTTTTCTGCTACACGAAGGTAAAGACATTCCTCCTGACAAGGAAAAATTTGTGCTGGGGAAGACAAATTTTCCAAGCGGTGTTACTGGCAGCCAGGGTTTTGGGGGAGAAAGTCTCCTTTGGGAGTGGATTGGATTTGTTTTAGTGTACTCTCGGTTCTGCAGTTTTCTGCCCGTGGTGTTGTGGAAAAACCCTGGAGTTCCTCTCCAGATGTATGCCTTTCTTTGCAGGCCAGCAATGGACTGTGGTACAAGATGGACGATGAGTCGGTGGATAGTTGTGACACCCACACAGTTCTGGGGCAGCAAGCATATTTGCTGTTCTATGCCAGGTAATAACCAGTGTCACACGTGTTCAGAATATGTTTCCTTTTCTTGTCTTTGCTGTTTGTCTTCTCATCCTCCTGGGTGCTTCTGTAATAGGAGAGAACTTCTCCTTGCATTCTTCAGTGCTGTGAATTTTGAACTATCCCACACCAGTCCTTCTCTTCCCTTGCTTCACCTTCAGGCTTTAGGGTGCTGCCCTGTGTATTCTGCCACTTGTCTGCTCTCTGAAGCTGGCTCACGTAGAGAAGAACACTTAAAGGGGGCCTCTAGGAAAGATCAGTAGAGACTCTTTATCAAAGGAGACTAGTAATGGGATGAGGAGTAATGATTTTAAAGCAAAGAGGAAAGATTTAGATTACATATTAGGAAGAAATTTTTACCTGTGAGGGTGATGAGGGTCTGGCACAGGTTGCCCAGAGAAGCTGTGGCTGCCCCATTCCTGGAAGTGTTCAAGGCCAGGTTGGACAGAGCTTGGAGTAAGCTGGTCTAGTGGAAGGTATTCTTGCCCATGGCAGTGGAAGGTGCCCTTGCCCATGTTGGAACTAGTTGATCTTTAATGTTCCTTCCAACCAAATTCTAGGATTCTAGGACTCTGTGAATTGGAGGCCGGAGTGGGTATAAAGACAAGGAGTTGCTCTGACAGGGGCAACTGACCTGGTGGGAAGACCCCAGTTAAATTCCCATTGGTGACCTTGGTGAATTCTTCCCTCTGTTGCTCCAAGAAAATAACTAAATCCCAGAGGAGTCTACAAGGAATGCTCTAAACAGAGATCACTCTTTTTTCCTCCAGGTGCTCCAATTTGAAAATGGGAGAAATGGTGGCTTCCTCACCAGCACCATCATATGTCCATTCCATCCTCAGTCAGACAGGGGGCAGCAGTGAGCAGGCAGGTTCTGCAGGACCACAAGCTCTGCCTGGTAGGATTAAGGTGACACACAGCCAGAGGAACAGTGCCAGGGAGAGGGCCCGGAGCAGATCCCCGCAGTGGGGCAATGATCTCTGCAGCTGCTTCATGAACAGCACTGACTACGACAACTCAACGGGGAGGAGGAGGAAGAGAACTAGTTCTTTAGACTGTAACCACGCTCCCAGGGATAACACAGCTCCAGGGCTCTCCGACTGGATTTGCCAGCGGACACCTGCACCCAGTGCTGCTTGGGTGCAAACCCTGCCAATACGGAGATCCTCATGGCGGGGCTATGATATCTGGAGCCAGGTTGTGGAGATCACAAACTCTCATCAATCAGTGAGGAGGTTTGAGCATCGCAGAGATGCATGTCAGACAAACACAGTATGATGAGGCCAGACTGTCAGCCTGGATGAGGGAGCAGCACAGCATCTGAAATGAACAAAACTGACACTCGACTGGAATGAACAGGCAGAAAAGCCAAAGCCAGAATTAAACCCCCTTACTGGCCTGTGGAGGACCAGGCCTAAGCATGTTTTGTCTCAAACATTCTGTTACAACAGGAAAGGTAACTGGAGAAGAGGGTCCTGCAGAGCAGGGGCAGCATGTTCTGAGCCAACTTCCTGATCCACCTTGAGACTTGTGCTGCCCCATCCCCAGCTAACTTGCAGGAGGAGGGCTAAAAGGGCTGGCTGTGCATGTGGAACAAAACAGCACAAAAAATCTAGTTTACATAGGAAGCAGCACCAGGTTAACTAGGAAAGGAAATGGATTGGGCTCCCCTGGTTCTCTTTTTTCTCTCTTTCTCTTTTGCTTTCTTTGTCTTGCAACCTCAGTTCCAGACCCATGTGGCAGGACCAATGTGGGATCTACGGACTGCTGACATTCTTTGTTCTCTCCCTTTTCTATCTTTATTTCTCTCCTCTCTTGCTTTGCCTGGGCAAAGCACGGCTATGATATTCTAGCCTGTACTCCTATTGAAGTTTGCTTTGGGAGTGGGGAGCTTGTGGAAGCACGTCGTGGCTTGTGAGGCAGCACCTTTGAGGAGCTTCTTGTGGGAGCTGAGAACTTACTGAAGTGTACTGTACCAAATCTAAGGGCTTGTTTGGCCCCACTCTTGTAGAAGTGTATTGCAATAATTTAAGGGCTTGTTAGCCAACACCTTTTTAATCTAAATATTGGGCTGGTTCCTGGAGTTATGGTGGCTGTACAATAAAACATAAAGAGTTCCCTGGTATGTAGCCCAGTGTCTTTGTTCAGCCTGATGAGAATTCACAACGAACATCATGCCTCTGACCACATAGGTTATGACATGAATAATCCTTCTTTTTAGGTTTTGGGGCAATTGGTGGAAATACCCACTGTGGGATGTTGTGCATGATGGGATTTTGAAAGCTGTGTGCTTGCATGTGCCCATCTGACAATCTCTTATTTTTAAATATGGAGTTCAAGTCACTCAAAGGGACATGGGTTGGATGAGTCAACAGTGACTGAAAAGGGCTGGATGGCTGGACCCCAAGGGTTCTGCTCAGCAGCACCAAGCCTAGTCTGGAGCCAGGAACAAGCAGTGTGTCCCAGGGGTCAGGGACTGATCCTATTTAATGCTTTCTTAACTAATGGTCTGGATGCTGGGGCAGAGACAACACTCAGCAAGTTGGCAGATGACACCAAAGCGGGAGCGGTACTTAGGCCACGGGTCTTGTGCTGCCACAGCGGAGATAAGGCAGATTGTCAACCTGGACCATAAAAAGGAGACTTTCAAGGCTAGAAGAAAGGCTTAGGGCTCTAATTACAATGCTTTGGTCCCTAAAAGAGGGCTTTGGACTATCCAGATGGGGGTCTGGACACTCAATGTGTGGCTTGGACCCTAAAAATGACCGTATGGGCCCTAAAAGTGCTGCCCTGGAGCTGGTTGTGTCCAACACGGCTGATTTTGTACAAGTCTTAATTGTCACCGGTAACATTGTTTGAGGATGTCTCTACACATTTTCTAGTTAAGGGCTGTGGGAAAATGACTGGGAGTAAAAACATAATGGTACAGAAATTATAGGGGAAAATACGTTGCTACTCCCTGGATGGAATGCAGCCAGCATACCCGACCTCCCCCACACAATACAGTCTAAGGGGGACTAAATGAAGGGTGGAGTTGAGTAGAGATCTGTGGAAACCTTTGCAGAGAGGGGAACTCGGTGGTACTTTATAGCTGATCAGTTGCACAGCAGCTGAAAACCAAGGGAGATGAAGATGTCCTGCTGTTGAATCAGCAGCTGTGGCAAAATCCCTCTCCTTGGACTGATGGGTGTCCCTATTTCAAGGTTATCTCAGGTACTGCACTGAGATACCTGTCCCCAAGGTACAACTGCCCTTCACTGAGTAACACGCATGACTAAAATCACTCAAGCTCCACCTAAGTGTAAAAAAACAGCATAAAAGTGAGTTGAAAATGGGGAGAATTTAGCGAAAACTCATTTGTAACTTCTGGGATCAGTCAACGGGCTGAACCTGTCTCTCCCCCCAGAGGGGCCCATTCGGTAAAGGAACCACACTCTGTGTGCACTGAATGATTTTCTCTAGCCAGTTTTGTCAGGGACTAGAGGTCGTCTGTATATTGCTTTGAATACATTTTTGCAGTCAGGCAGTAAGTATCACCAGCAATCCTGGAACCTTAACCTGTCACAATTTTATTAATAAAGAGTGTTATTCCATGAACTGTTGGTGTGAGTCTTTCAAGGGTTTTGACAAACATTAAGGTTTGGGAATATCTTCCCTTTCCATGTGACAAGGGCCAGTCTCTACTTTGTGCTGCAAGACACAAAGTCTCTACTTTGTGCTACAAGACCCTCCTGTCCAGTATGCCCCAGTTTACGGTGTAACCAGTTGCCCAATCAATACTAATGTTGAGGATCTTCCGACTGATCAATTTTTATCTTCTTAATTTTTGTCATCTGATCCACTTTCTTGCTCCAATAAGTCTGTAAGACGATCATTGCCATGAGCTTTGACCCATCCTATGTGGATTGGTTGGGATTGAGCCTGTAACAATAACCACTTCCAATCTTCCTTCTGCCAAACCTCCTTTCCATTTACTTGTCAAACTAATGCTTCCCATTGACACAATCGCTGTGTGGCACCAGCCCAGATCGTGTAAGAATCAACATATATTGTCTTTGTTTTCTCTTTTGCTGCCAGCAATTCAGCTTTTAACTCTCCCACCTGTGCACTTCCCATTCCTTCTTCTACTACTTCCATTCCTGTCTGAATGTTAAGAGCACCTGCTCTGTACTTCCATTTACCATCTCTGTGTTTGGCTGAGGCATCAGTAAAACACATCTTTAACTTCAGAGTCTGATGTAAATGGGGAGCATCAAGTACAGGAGTAGGCTTACATGGCTGTTTCAAAGCCAGCATATCTGGGGTCTCAGCTACCTGCAATTTGGTAGGTTCTCCCAGCCCTTCAGTCATATCCATCCAATCCACGACTCCTGAGACATATGCACACTATCTGTGTACTGTTGGCTTTTGTGCAATCCCATCTGGTGGAGCACTGCCCTTCTTAACACTGGCTAACAGGTTAAACGGGGCTTGGATTTGCACAGATTGTTACTGTTGAATTTTTTCTACTTCTTTAATTGTTTGGGTCAGAGATAATAATACCTTTTCCCAGTCCATGTATCTTTTTTCAGTATCTTTTAATGCTGTGGAACTGAACCCTAATGGTCATTTGGGTCCATGAGGGCCTTCCTGGAACATATTACAGTAAGTCCCAAGTTCAGCAAAACCCCATTCAACTATTATAGGATCACTGGGGTAAACTGGCCCAAGTGATTGATATATTTTTAACTCTTCTATTAGCATGTGCAAAGCCTGCTCATGACTATCAAGCCATTCCCAGGTCTTTTTTTCCTCATAATGCATACAACAGTTTTGCTATTATAGAAAATCCAGGAACAGACAGGAGAATTGCATGGGGAGTGTGCCCTGAATACCTCTGTGCTCTAAATCCCTAATTACTTAATTTATCCTTTCTCTGGCTGCAGGGGAAATGGGGAGCTTTGATATTAGTCACAATAGAAATGAGTAAGACTGGAGCAATTTTTAATGCAGTAATTTTCATATTCTGTCCAGAAAATTTACTATTTGGAGTTTTTGCAGGCCTGAATGACCAAATAGTCTAATTGAACAACTGACAAACTTTTCCTTTAAAGATATTGTATCCTAAAATATTTTCTTAATGGCCTGCAATTGCAAAGGTACATGAAGTCATTCTTTTTCCCTAAGTAACCACAAACAGACAGGAGGATTGGGGACTTTTAATAATGCCACTTCTAATCTTTCTTCCAAGGCTTCTGCCTTTCCCTCGGATTCTTTAAATTGTGGTTCTAATAAATCATTCTATACCTGAGAACTGAGCTTTAGAAATGAAAAGGAGGGTTTGAACCCTGAAGTTAGGTTTTGTGCCCTCAAAGGATGCTTCATTACCCCAAATAAGGGCTTTGCCCCTAAAAAGGGGTTTTTAGAGGCTTAAAATAAGATTTGAGCCCACCAAATTTCAGGTTGAATCCTAAAGAGAAGGTTTTGGTCCCTGACAGGGGTGTTTTGGAAGCCCTGGACCAAACCTGTGCAGCTTGGGTGTGTCCTGGACTGCAGGGTTTCAGGGTGTCCTGCCCCTGACCCACAGGCTCCAGAGCTTCCTCTGTTGGGTTCTGAACTCCCTCTTCACAGTGTAGTAGAATAACTCCTCCATTTTTGTGTGTCCAGCCAAAAAAGCCTCCAAAACACCATTTTTTGGCCCCCAAGTGTTGGTTTTTTAAAATTTTTCCAACATGACAATGGATTTTAAACCTTGTTATTCAGCTTTTTGGTCACTAACCACCCCTTTTTCCAGACTTTTACCACCAGACCAAAGATTTGTGCCTCATTTGGTATCATTTGGACCAAATCCAAGAAGAAACTCTGGTGCTGAAGCACAGGAGTCGCCCTGACCTGGACTTGGCCTGGGCTGTGCTGCTCCACTCAGAAATTTAAGGTGGAGCTTTGAACCTCCCACTGGCGACCCAGGCCAGAGCAGTGTTGTGAGATCTTGCCCCAAAATACGGCTCAGGGCCATGTTTTTGCCCCGTCACAGCAAAATAATTATAGGGAAATATTTGGTGGAACCATTCTTCCTTGGTCGTGCTCCTTCTCTCCCCTGGGGCTGCTATACGCAGCCCTCTGTGCTCCAAATCCTTAAGAGGCCTCTGGCCTCTCTAAGTGTTTCACTTAGGCCCTTTTGGGTGCCTCCATGCCCCTTTGGGGTATCCCTAATTTCCCTCTGGATGTCCCCCAGGTCCCTCAGGGTGCTCCCCCAGGTTCCTCCATGCCCATTTGGGTACAGCACCCCTCCACCTCCCTCCATGCCTCTCTAGCTGCCTCTCTGAGCCCACCCACTGGGTGTCCTACGGGACTCCCTGGAGTCTCTCCCTCTTTCGGCCTCCCTCATCTGTAACACCCCTGGAATCCCCCCCTGCTCCTCCCCCCATCCCAGAGGTGTTCTGGGCCCCTTAAGGGCCCCCGGCCAGCACTGGCTCCGTGCCCGAGCCTCTAACAGGCATCTCCAGCTGCTCTGCCATGGAGGAGACGTGAGTGCGCCGGGGGCCCCGAGGTTCCCCCGCTGCTGGCACCCCCTGAACCTACTGTTCCCTCCAGGGTGCCCTCAGTGGAAGTTTACGAGGCGGCCATGGTGCTGAGTGGGGTGGGGGATGCGCTGGGGTACCGAGGGGGCCGCTGGGAGTACTGCACCTCAGGCCCCCAGATCCACGCTGAGCTGGCTGAGCTGGGGGGCCTAGCGGCCATCACCCTCGAGCCCCCCGAGTGGCCCGTCAGCGATGACACCGTCCTGCACCTCGCCACCGCCGAAGGCCTGGCCACAGGTGGGGGGGGCTCCATGGCACCCCACAGATACAGATCCCTGGGATTGGGGTCCCCATTGTACCCCAGGCTAGCAGTGGAGTGTTCTGGGTGAGGGGGATGTCCTCACTATATCCCCTAGAGGGTGGGACTTATCTTTTGGTTGGGTTGTATATAGCCTTGGGTTGTATAGTGACATCTGAGGGGGGTCCCCATTTTAGCCCTGAGCTGTATGGGGCAGAAGTCCCCCATTGTATCCATGACCTAAACTGGAGGGTTGCTGGGAGGGGCTTTTGGGGGCACTCTGGCCAGCCCTGGAGGGGGCTTGGGGGCATTCTAATTCCACTTTCCCCCTCTCCTTTTAGAGTTTAGCCAGTGAGGCTTGGGTGGGAGGGGGGGTCCTCATTTACTCGGGGAGAGTGGCAGGTGGGGAGCGTGTGTCTGTCTGTGTCTCTGTGTTTTTCACCATTTATGTGCCCTTCCATATTGGGGGCTAGAGGGGGGAACATTTTCCCCTCCCACTTTAGAGACCTGGCAGGGTACCCCTTTCCCACCCAAATTGGAGTGCTCAGGGGGATTCCCCATTTCTCCATGAAACTTGTCCTGCTTCCCCTCCACTTTTGGGGGTGGTGTGAGTGGTGTCTCCTTTTCCCTCCAGTTTTGGTGGTCCATGAAGGGTGTTCTCCTCCCCCCTCCAATTTTGGGGTGTCTGTGGGGCGATGTACCCTTTCCCCACATGTTTTGGGCGGGGTGCAGTGGGGGGTCTTCCTCTTCCCTTTCAGTTTTGGGGGGTGCATGGGGCCTCTCCCTCCCCTCCCTGCCAGCCTGGGTAACCCAGGGAGGACCTCATGCTCCCCCCCCAGGCCTGGAGGGGGAACCCCTCCTGCAGGAGCTGGCTCGCCGCTACGTGGCTGCCATGGGAGACATGGAGGGACGCAAGCCTGGACCCACCAGCATCCTGGGTGAGTGGGGCTCAAGGATCCTGGGAGAGGCAGGGGGGCTTAGGGGGCCTCACGCCCCCATGCTCCCCCAGGCACCTCACAGCTGCGGCCTGGGGAACCCGAGGGCTATCGCATCCCCTTCAACCCCCGCGGCACCGGCTGCGGGGCCGCCATGCGCAGCCTGGCCATCGGCCTCAGGTGGGGATGGAGAAATGCGGGGACAGGTGGGGATCGGGGACGGAGGTATCAGAGCTGGGGAGATGGGGACAGGGTATGTGGGGGTGTCAAACAGGGATGTGGGAGTGTCAAAATGGATGGAATGGGGACATGGGGGTGTCAGGGCTGGAGGGACCTGGGGGAACAGGGACAGGGGGAATGGGGGTGAGAGACTGTCAGAGCTGGGGGAGTGGAGACATGAGGATGTTGGGGCTGGGAAAATGGGTGTGTCAGAGCTGGAGGGAAAGGGACATGAGAGGATGGGGTGGGGTAACAGGGACATGGGGATGTCAGAGGAAGAAGAATGGGGATACAGAAAGGGGTGGGGCTGGAGAGGACAAGGTCTGGGATTTGGGGACATTGTGGTGCTGGAGCTGGGAGGTCGGGGACAGAGAACACGGGGACAGCAATAGGGAGAATGGGCACAGCAGAGACAAGGACTGTGGGGACAAGGGTGGTGGGATGGGGATGGGAACAAGGCTGGGGATACAGGACTGGGGCGGTGGGGACTTGTCTGATGCCAGTACAGGTATCCACATGCCTGGGAGCTGCCGACACTGATCCGGGTGAGCATCGAGAGTGGGCGCATGACCCACCACCACCCCACTGGTGCGTGCCAGCCTGAGGGAGGCAGGGCAGGAGGGGACACAGGAACCCCCCTGAAGCCCCTGTCCCCACAGGGTACCTCGGGGCACTGGCAGTGGCCCTCTTTGGGGCACTGGGGGCTCGGGGAGAGCCCCCAGAGCGCTGGGGGGCTGAGCTGCTGCGGGTCCTGCCCCTGGCATGGGACTACGTGGAGGGCACTGGTGTGGCTGTGGAGGACAACGCTGCTGCCTGGCCCTTCTTTGGGGAGGCCTGGCACCGGTGAGGGGTCACTGGGAAGGCCTTGGGGATACATTGGGAGCACAAGGTTGGACT